GAGAGAGAGAGAGAGATTTGTATCTTTCTTATAAAGGTGAGAAATGACATTGGAATAAATGTCAATATCCGTACCTTTTCGTTAGTATTCCGAATGTTAGCTTGCAGAGTCGCGTTAGTATTCTGTTTCTCCCTTTCGTCGCATTCCTCGCTTACTTCCGCTGGTCTTGGCTGTTCTTTCCTTCTTCCGAAACAACTATGTTCTACCAATTGTAGAACGAGCGCAGTTTTCCCTGTACCTGGTGATCCGGAAATCAAGATGCCAGGGCTAGAACCATTGATCAGGGATTCTAATTCATGTAACAACCACTGTCGTCCTGCGAAAAGTGGATCTTCTTCTAGTAACGGTACTTCGAAGAACAGTGGCTTCAGATTCAATTGCGTCGTATGATGCTGAATGAAACGTACTAAAACAAAAACGTATAATGAACCTTCATTACATTACACATATGTGTAATGAACCTTCATTTCATTACACATTTGAATACATTAGGGTTGGAATATAAAGAACAGATATTACATTTAGCATCCATGGGACCTTTAATATTGCCAGCTCTTGCTGATTTTCGGGCACAGAATCGTCTGTTCTTCAATTGACTGAGATCGTCAGTTTGATTGTGGGATTGACTGGCTTGCGCGGTGTTGGCGAGATATCTTCTGGGCGCGAGCGGACTGGAACTACCATTTGAGAGACCTGACACGGAGACAGACATAGACATAGACATTGACGTGGACGCGGATAATGATGTGGAAATAGATGCTAGGCTGCCAGCGCTGTCGCAATCTCTGGATTTGGTCTTCCCCTTGGTCTTGATTTTTGGCTTGATGGGACATCGTAGTGCCGCGGCGGCTTCCGCTTCGCTCGATGTACCCGTTAATGTCGATACTGGGCTCGTATTCGTCGAAGCCAATGTCTGTGTTTCAAAGCTGGTCAAGCTGCTGAAAGAGGCCGCGGAGCTGTCATGTCCTTGTATCGAAACTCGTGACGGACACGCACCTGATTCCACGCTTGCGCTTGCTCGATTGGATCCCAATAGCAAACCCAGCCTCATGTACAGATCCGATTGTGATGATTTTCTAGTTTTCGAAGGCAGTGGTTTCACGCAACCACCCTCATCATCTGTGAAGAAATTATTAGGCAATGCATAAATATAGAAGAAATGATGTGTAATCCACAAATTCAGATAGATCCATGCTAATCCGCAACAAGTATTTCATGCCGTGAGTCCAAAAATCAACGAGCAAAATGGGAAAATCACACTCCACTAATTGTAAACATACATCTAGGCGAATATATTGTTTAAGCTGCCATTCCCAAATGGCATCTCTTGAAGCAAACTCAAAAATTGCAACGTTGCAAATATTAAATATTATTGTTGGACAAAATATTTACATTCGGAAATATTTTGCTACAATGATTATTTTCAATCTGTCCGTCTAAACATATCCGTTTATATGCACTACTTGCAATATTTAATCAAACTTGAGAAATGCTAAATCCAGGCATGTGATGTCGATCACTGCAAAGATAGAATGTATTCAAAGATTCGCATTATTTATTGAGACATTATGCATCCTATTGATTCAAATTTTTATTTAAAAATTTTTATATTTTTATACTTTATATTTTTATTTTTTTTAAATATTTTTCACATAATGTTAAAAATGAAGAAATTTTGCCAAGTGAATAAATGCCAGAGTTGATTGAATTTGGAAATTATCAACGACGCTAAAAAATGCGGAGACGTTTACAAAAGATTGTTTCGTTTAGTTTAATAAGAAGACAGAGAGATAGATGTAATTCGATATATTTCTGATAAATGCAATGATGTAATAAAATTAAAAATAATGGTATAATTATATAATAAAAAATTATTACAAACTGTGTGTCATGCTTTTAAAAAGAGACACTACCAAAGAAAAATAAGTGTTATCATTGAAAGAAGATATTTACAATTCTCAAGATTCTCCTACATTCATTTGCAAACTATAAGCATGTCAGACATGTTTCGAAATAGTGATACAACATCGAATTTTAAAAACTCCTCCTGCCTGCAACTTTATTCGACGAGCCAATAAGCTGATTCAACCCGTCGTTAGCTGTGCCTTGACTGTTGCTCCACAAAGACTTGATTTTTCCCAAAACAACGCCGGGCCATCTCGCTTTTCTTTCCAAGGACGAAGTCATCCAAGCTATGCGTGTATGTGTGAATTTTGATGTTGTCAAAATATTCCATACGACTTGATAAATTTTTCTCTTCGAGAAAAGAGAAGCACGAATTTATAGTCGATTTAAGATTATACCTGATAAGGCAGAAGGATTATCATTTGCAATTGGTTCGGGCGAAGATGTAGTATGTCTCGAAGATCTCTGGACGGAACTTCTTAGTACTTTCGGGTTGAGGAAAAATCTTCTTCGTTGGTTCGGTGGTGTAGGACAACCTATCGGCAGCGATTTTACATTCGTTACGTTTAATATGTATTTTAACGAGAGAGAGAGAGAGAGAGAGAGAGAGAGAGAGAGAGAGAAATAGATTCGATCGTACGCTTCGACGTACTTTGCGTCATTTTAAGTTTCTGTCGATCTTGAGAGACAGAAGAATCTGCGTGTATCGATGCTTTGCTTTTCAAGTTTTTAGCTATTGTTATCAACGAGAGATTTTCTGCCCCGCTGCGCTGCTGAAAATAATAAACGATGAGTAAGATTGCGCATGGTACCAATGGATTCCTGCAATCGAATGTAATAAAGAGAAAAAAAGAAGAAAATTTGCTTTCTCTTGCTAACATTCTCTCCTCTTCCCCTTTTCCATAAATGCGTTTGTGATAAGAAACGTTTGTTCTGCAACCTGATACCCTTGAGAAGCGAAAGAAAAGCAAAAATCTCCGATGTGTTCTTCTTCTTTTCCTCATGTAACGCAATGTATGCTTACGTGTATGACACGCGACGGCAGATTAGTCCTCGTGGTAATCTTAGTGCGTAGCCTGGGGCTGCCACAGAGAGAATTTACCGTTGATGATTCATCGAGCCAACCATCCGTGAGCGCGAAGGTGGGCAGCGGAGTCGAAGAAACATCCCTGAGAGACGATTCTTCCAATCCGTCGTCATTGTTGAGATCGTAACCACGCAGGCAGAGCGGACAGACTTCGCTACGAAACAAGCAGGAATAGCAACGCTCGTGGCCGCAGGAGTCGATCAGGCGACGTTTCTTGCCTTTGTCGAATGGCATTTCGCAGGATGGACACGTAGATCCGCCTAGCATCCCCGTCGACTCGACCAACGCTCGTATCTGCGCTAGATCTAGAAAGAACGAGCACAGTCATTTCATTTTTATTTTCACTTTTATCTTCGTCGATAATGTGACAATTATACGTATACAATTCAACGGTTCAACTCTGGGAACTTTAGTCGTCCCAGACTTTCTATCGAGATACAAAAGGTAAAAGTTAGTAAAGTGAACAAGACAGTAATATGTAAAATGTAATTTGGCGACGAGTGCAGCTTTCAAATCGAATCGAATCGAGCCAGCGCGCCACTTTAGAAGAAGACAACAACCGTTTGACGATAGATTTATCTGTCACGAGCAAACGGCCCGCGAAACCTTGGTATTTCGATATCTCGGTATCTCGGAACTTTGGTATGTCGGTTAGCGAAGAGACACTCTCGTTCGTGTGTCCAAGTAGCGACGCTCGTTTATCACGCGTAACGCATAAATAAATTGGACAGCACGAATCCAAGGCGCCATGTACTCGAGGCATTCTATTGTAGAAAGTAAGGTCGAGAGATTTTCTGGTGCGCACTCCTCTCAATCGTGACCCTTTTAACTCTTTTTAACGACGCTTTACAGAGTTATATTCGCTCGATTAATTTGAAGATCACGAGAATTTCTTTGTACACGCATATGCGTTAGCTTTATCATCCGAGATGGTACGCTCTGTGCGGATTGTGTTCGAGAATCTATTAATTTGGGAAAAATCGAATTAATTCGAAAAAAGAATGCGTAGAGATACGCATCGATACATTTGCTTGTTACAAGCGGAAATACAGTCCAAAGAACACGATCTCAATCTCCAAGAAACACGAAAGAGGATTCCCAAAACACACACACACACACACACACACACACACACACACACACATAGGAAAGATAGGTAGATAAATAATTGTATAGAAAAGTTAAAATCCCCAATGGACAAAGCAATGGATAAATGGCGAACAGGGAAACGGGAAGAGAAGAGAAAAGAAGGAAGTCGCACGACCCCTCGTGCCGGTAACTTTGCGTGAGGCAGGTGCAACTCGGCACGGCAGAGAATCGCCTGGGTTACCGTAAGCTGGGTCAACGCACTGAGTCTGGTGCGCGCCGCAGAGACCTCGCTTCCACCGTAAACTCGCGCATCGGTGTCGTTTTCTCATCGGGTGGAGGCTTTACTGACTCACGCGTCCCATCTGTACGGGGTCCAGTTTCCACTATCTTGCCTTGCCTGGTCTCACCTCACTTCTCCTCGTCTCGCCTCGCCTCGCCTCGCCTCGCCTCGCCTCGCCTCGCCTTGCCTTGCCTCGCCTCGCCTCGCCTCGCCTCGCCTTATCTTACCTTACCTTGCCAAGCCATGCCAAACCTCGCGTCAATCGCGCCTCGATACTTAGATGCCAATCGACATTTAATGGATAGGATTGTCTAGCGACATCCGATCGGCTGGATTGACTCGCGTTTTATAATACGATCGGTGATTATTTATATTTAACGTTTCTTCTACATCACGTATCGCGTATGTACACTTCGCACATACTTTTATTTACTTTATTTTTATTTATTTATTTACTTTTATAAATTCCTACGTACTGTATTTTCTCCCCTTTTTATTCTACTCGTGCGCAATGACCTCAAGTTTAAACAAGAGCGGTAATTTTATCTTCTTTAAATTACGCGTACAAAAGTTGTTTCCTCTTGCTATCCATGCGCTATTGTTAAACTGGATCGATTGATTTTGCTAACGCCAGTGAAACGCGATCTTTCACGATGCAACATCGACGATTTTGTAACACGACAGTTTCCGTGCAAATATTTCTCTTTTTTTAAAAATTCTTTACACAATAGAGTTTCTCTCGTATGGATAGAAGAACCCGCATTGGCGGCGATTCTTAAAGAGTTTGTCGAAGAGATCTGTGTCGAAGAGACAATCGCGTCGAATGTGTCTAAATGAAAGAATTCATTCATCCGTTTTGCTCGAAACGACGACGAAATACGACATGTTCATACGACGTGTCAGCCGACCCCAATGGAGCAAGAACGGGGGCGATTAAAGTCATTCCAAGCCAAGCGAGAAAATAAAGTGGAACAGAGCGAAACGACATCCACCGACCGCGCGCGCGTGGACCACCTGTTGCTGCTGCTGTTGCTGCTGTTGCTGCTGCTGCTGGCTGGCTGGCTGGCTGGCTGGCTGGCTGGCTGGCTGGCTGGCTGGCTGCTTGGCTGGCTAGCTGGCTGGCTGGCTGGTCAGCTCCTCCGCGTCTCCGCGCTTCCGTTCTCCACGCTCTGCCTTTTCTCTTTCCTTATGTTTTCGTACATTTCAGCATCACAAATCTTGTTAATATTTTACTATATCGGAAATATAGTGAAAGTCCGGAAATGTTCCGTATTGGAAATTCCACGATTTCTTCCCCGTTCGATAATAGATAATTACTAGCAATTTTAATGCGATTTAAATATTTGCGTCATTTTTATTTTTTCTATCAATTTATCTTTAGGTTCAAAACGTTCAACAGATACAACTTGTCAATTAATAATATATTATAATTTTTATCTGCTTTTACCATATATTCTTATAATATTTCAATTATCTTCAAATATATCTGTCTCATAGTTAATGATATTTGGAAAAAGACATATAGCTACGTCAAGATATATTGATTATATAAAGAAAAGATGACCCAGACGAGAGATTTCGTACGATAATAATACGAGAACGGTAAAAGATGAAGGCTACTGGACGGAGAATGGCAGTTACCCGGTCGTTGTTTCGGTTTCGACGAGTCACGTGTATTAATCGTTATTCGGTGCCAGAAGAGTAAGAGAAAGTTACTCTACTGAGGTGCGCTCGCCTACAGTCCTGTCGTATTTAAATCCTGCTGGTACCTTCGATATACCGGGAGGCTACGGGAAATATTATTATTATGCTCGTTAAATATCGTAACACTGCTAAATCGTAGTGTTTCTCTGAAGTAGACATCAAGTATAAGAGCTTCATATAAAATCTAAAATATAATTTTTATATAAAAAGATGTAATCGTGTAGCACGTTATCCCGTATTGGAGTCAATCTAGAAATCGTAAATCTAGGATAGAACAAAAACAAAGTGATTAATAAAATTAACGAAAAACGAAATTGAAAAGTTATCAATGCGATCAATGAGTTTTTTGCTAGATTATTCTTTATTCTTCATTACGATACCAAGTATTGTTTGATTAGAATTTACTTACTTTTATTTATAAAATAATATATGGTTTCAATGCTATAACGCTATCACTGATATTAGATAACGCATATTAGATAAATGGAAATCTATGGATTTCACGATACGATTAAATAAATAAAGAAAACGCTCGCTTTTATCATTTAGTCGCACTTTTTTTCATGCCAAAAAATTGATGTGTTATGACATGTGACATGTGATATGTGACATCTTGTTCTTATAATTATCAATGCATTCGGCAACGCGGAAACTCTTTTACACTTGACTGCGCTAAAATTATTCTTATATCTTCACATGTTATTTTACTTTCAATTTACAAATAGCATAACCTCAACAAATCTTGAATCTGTCGTTTCGTTTACACATAACGTTTATACACGTAACGTAGACATGGCCTTCACAAACACAAATATTATTTCAGATAATGATGTTGTCTTATGTAGGTCCGCCTCGACTGCAAATTTTAGATAAGTATGTTTTTGTAATAAATACGAAATTCAGATCAAATCACAAATTGAAGTCAATAGACAAAAAAAATTGTGTTTGATGGTTTTTTACATTTTGTAATTCTTCTATATTAGTTTTTTAACTTTGAGAAAAAAAGAGAATTTTTAAATATATACGGTGAAATTATTTCAACCAAATTTTACTAAAATTATTTGTATAAATTAAAACATCCTTTATTTTTCGTTCACTATATATCGGATACTTTTTATATATCTGTCGTCATCAACGTACAAAAGCTTTCCCATTTTTCACGATTCATTTCTGGTGCACTACTAATGTAATGATAATTCTCGCTGTTTGTTTGTATTTTAATTTCTAAATTTATCTATTATGAAATATAGCGGAGTGGTATCGTTATCACTAAATTTCTCTTATCATTAAATTGAGGAACATCATTAATCGTACGTAATTGTGTTCCATTTTCCCTGTGACGGTTCATATGATTCTGCCAAACACGTTCGAATGAAAAAGAGATAAAAATTTTTCTCAAATAAATCAAATAATCTCATAAATAAATTTCTCTCTTTCGATACAAAGAATCAATCAGAGAGTACGTATTAATATATATGTCCATAGATTGTTGGTTCATGTATATTATTGAGGTTGTTGGTTCTTAGAATGAACGTGCCAGACGAGACATGATCCGTTGATCGTAAGACTGCTGGTCGCCGCCTTGCTATTTCGCGTACTATTCACTCACGTTACAACTTACAGCCGCCCACAGCATGCATAAATTTCGACACACCACATTTCGTCACAATATTCCGTAAATAATCATATGCCGATAAAATATTTCATTGAATGAACTGTAAATAATAGTTATAGATTACACACAAATACATTATACAATATTGGTCTCATTGATGTATTTTTAAACTTTCTAAGAAGCTAGATATGAAAGCTCGTAGAAAGATCTGGAAAGGAAATGATCGGTATGAGTTAAAAGCGAGAGAGAGAGAGAGAGAGAGAGAGAGAGAGAGAGAGAGAAGAAAG